ATGGTGTCAATCTATTAACCTCCAAAAATGTGTCAACAAGTGTCGACCAAAATGAGGTACACGTGGACGTATTCTTCAATATGTTGATTGTAAACTTAAACACATGTTCAATTACTAATCAAATGTGATGAAGTTAATAAGCAAGATAAGCACTTGTAAAAGATAAAGTATATAATAGTGAGTGGGTTTATGTAAAGAGAAAAATACAATGTTATTTTTCATGCATGGAGATTCATCCTCTAAAAATGTTACAAAGACTGCTATTTATAGTAATAAGGACAACGTTGTCGCTGTTGAATTAGATCTGCTTGGCCTCATCTGCTAGGTCATGGTGTCGCGTCATCCTATCTCATATTAATTACATTGACAGACATTTGACAAGGGGTCAACCGCCTTACACTTCTAGGCTGATATTTTTGACATCTATTTAATGAGGATATTACATCAATCAGCCCTAACGATACGCCTATCAGACCCATTTTTGAAAGTTATGGACTTTGGATGTGAAGGGGTTCGACAAAAAGGAGAAAACCACTTCGGCAAAGAAAGGAAAGCACTTCAGTAGTTGGGCCTCGGTTATTTGAAGAAGAACACTTCGACAGTTGGGCTTCGGCCAATATTCCTTTCTTTATCTAATTAATGCGAAGTATGTGCACACAGGGCTTCCACATGTTCCAATCATATATGGTCAAAAACAAAAATCTTAGCAATGCATCTCACATATTTGAAAAATACATTTAATTGCTTTCACTAGTTTAATTGATAATTTAGGGACTAGTTAGAAAAATTACAGCAACTTGTTTGCTTAAAGTTGCAACTAATACATAGTCCTTATATGTTCGACACTTTATTCACTACTTTATTACTTGATCACGTTCCCATCCACTTGCGAAAAATCAAATAATCAAATTTTAATGAGAACAATGCAATCTTATCAACATAAAACATCAAACTTTATATATCGATCATGAACCATATATTTTGATCACGTCACACATTGTGTCTCATTATGCTCGAACCATCAAGTATCGTATATGATTATGGAACTTTAAATTATTTGCTACAAATTAAACTACGAAAATTCAAATATTACTTCATAATGTCGTTTACAAATTATTACTTGACGGGCATCAAACTAACATAAACTACCCTACATATAAATACACAATGGTTAAAATTCATCTGATTAAGGACACAATCTATATGATAATTTGAAATGGGCAGCCAAGGGAATACTGATAGTCTTATCATTTAGCATATTGAACCTTTGAAGCACCTTCTCAATGCAACCCTTCTGACTCAAGTACAATCTGCTAGCCTTTCTATCCCTCAAAATTTCCATACCAAGAATTTTCTTTGCTGTACCTAAATCTTTCATCTCAAAGTCTTTACTAAGTAGAGATTTTACCTTCATGACCTCTGTTTTATCCTTGATTGCAATGATCATGTCATCAGCATATAATAACAAATATATAATCGATCTATCATCTTCCTTTCTGAAGTACACACAAATATCATAATTACTTCTATGACTACTTTAATCTACAAATGAATCAAACATTTTACACCACTACCTCGGTGACTGCTTTAGTCCATACAATGACTTGTTCAACGAGCACACATAGTTTTCTTTTCCAGAAACTATAAAACCCTTTGGTTATTGGTTGTAAATGTACTCCTCAAGCTCTCCATGCAAAATTGTTTTCTTAACATCCATCTGCTCAAGTTCCAAGTCATTCTTTGTCCTATCCCAAGTAAATTCTAAATTGAACTATGCTTTACAACCAACGAGTACATATCAGTGAAGTCAACACCACAATCTAACGGTAACCTTTTGCAATCCATCTAGCCTTATACCTAGTATCTTCAATCCCTGATGTCCTTTCTTTCGTTTTAAACTCCCACTTGCAATGGACTATCCTTTTATTCTTAGGTAGTTTCACCAAGTCCCAATTATAATTTTTATTTAATGACTCAATCTCCTCCTACATAACAATCAACCATATGCAAGAATCACTGCAACTATCTTTGAATATGTAGCAGGCTTATCGACGACATCAATATTTTGAGCCATACTCAAAGCATAAGCTATCAAGTCTCTTTCTCCATACTTCTGTGGAGGTTTAATCTATCTGCAAGGTCTATCTTTAACAATTGAATACTGTGGTGTTGGTGCTATAAGCAAGGTAGGCAAAGTATTATTGTCTATCAATTCTAAACTAGACTGTTCTATAATAGACTATTCTGAAACCTCTTATTGTTTTTCTGGTAACTCCACCTGAGTTGAATGATTCCATTCTTTATTTTTATCAGAATCTCCACGAAGTTAATCATAAACCATAGTAAGTTCACCAAATACTATGTCTCTACTAACACACCACTTTTCTTATTTTAGGTAGGACACTACAATTTATACACATTCACACCTGATTTTTACCCAAGAAAGACAGACTTTCTAGACCTAAACTCCAACTTTCCATTATCAATATGAGCATAAGCAGGACACTCAAAAATCTTCAAATCAGTATAGCAAGAAGGTTTACCAAACTATATCTCTTCTAGTGTCTTTTTCTCAATGACAATCAGAAAACAATTTTTGGCAGTAACTTTAGCCCAAAAAATCTCAGGCAACCCAGAATTTGAGAGCATACAACAAACATTTTTCATCAAAGTTCTATCCATTCGATCTGCCACACCATTTTGTTGAGAGTTTCGAGCATTGTTAAGTGTCTCAAGATGCATTCAGCCATGTAGAAGTTATTGAATTCATCTAAACAAAAATCCAACTCATTATTAGTATGTAGACTTTTAAGCTACTTTCTAGTCTACTTTCCTATCATTGTCTTCCATTCTTTGAAGGTCTCAAACATATCACTCTTCTATTTTAAGAAAAATACCCAAACTTTCCTAGAGAAATCATCAATCATGTCAACAGATAATAAACAACACCTCTTGAAGGTACCCTAGCCAATTCCAAAATATCTAAATGGATATATTCAAGTGTTCCCTTCGCGTTGTGTCTTCCTATAGTGAATCTGACTCTTTTCTATTTTTCAAAGACATAGTGCTTATAAGATTTCATTTTAGTGGTCTTCTGCCCATCAAAAAGCCCCATCTTACTCAATTCTGCCATACCATTCCACTTATATGTCCAAGTTGCATATGTCAAACTTTAGTAACTTCTTCATCAATCAAAGAATAAGTAGAGACTATTGTATCGCCTGTAACTGTAAAACTTACCAAATGTACAATTGTGTAGAGTTTTTCTGTCTCTTCAAGACAACAAGAGCACTTCGACTTACTTTCAAAACTCCATCTTCATTAGTGTATTTATGACCCTTTGAGTCAAATATACTCAAAGATATGAGATTTTGCTTCGGTTCTGGAATGTGCCCGACTTCTATAAATGTTCTGATAATACCATCAAACGTTTTGATTATGACTGTACCAATTTCAACAATTTCGCAAAGCGTGTTGTTTCGTATAATCACTGCACCTCTCAAAACACCTTCATATGTTATAAGCAAGACCCTGTTAGGCCACATAAAGAAAGTATAAGTCAAGTCAAGAACCCACTCCTTACAAGGTTTGGAATCCATGCCAGAAATCATAAGAAACTCTTTTTCACTTTGCATGTCTTCCACAACATCACCCTTCGCTATTTTAACATGTTGCTTTTCTATTTCAATAGCACTAGTAGCCTTATTCCTCTTTTTTCAAAGAATAGCAATCATCTCTGATATGTCCATTTTTCTTATAGTAATAACATACTTTTTCTGCATTCATATTCCTACCAAAATTCTTATCTTGATTTCTTTCAGGAACAACTTGGCCTTCAGCCTGACTCCCAGAACCTCCAGCAAGATGTTCAATCTTTTCCTTAGATAGTGAAGCATCATACCACTTTCATAGTGAGAGTATCCTGACCATAGAGAATAGTATCAATAAAAGTCCTCCTCATCAACTTAACCTCCAATATCTCCAAATCAAGCCATGATTTCTTTGAACATAATTAAGTGATTATGCAATGACGCACCTTCGAACTTCAGTGATATTACAGGTGCTGTTTCAAGTATAGCTTGTTGGTCAAGCTCTTGTCATACAAAGTTGCTCCAACTTCACCCACAATGCAACGACACTTTTCTCCATGAGAATATCCTAGAGAATTTAATTTGATAGATGTAGATGAATTTGGAATTGGCCTTTTCGATCCCTACATTTTTTTCATCCTACGTTCAGGTTGAAGGCATCTTATCAAAGCTATGCAAGGCTTCCTCCAAATCTATCTATGCGAGAACTGTTCTCATCTTCATTTGCCATAAAAATAAATCTTTTGTTTCGATCTAATATCATATTTCATAGTTTCCTTATGGAATAATCAACCTTGCTTTGATATCACTTGTTGTAAATTGTTCGTAAGATAATGACAATAATGAAATAAACAAGAATAAATTAAGAACACCAAGATTTACGTGGAAACACAAAACAAGAAAAAACTACGAGCAGAGGATGAGAAATTCACTGTAATCAATAGTAATTATTTACAACAAAATTTCAATGCTTTCAACTAAGATTTAAAGGTCTCAAGATGTTGTATAAATGTTATGTTGACAATACAAGTTGTAACTTATATATAAATATCCCTAAAAATCAAGTTGTAGATGAATAGGAATCCAAATACCTTAAAATGCAAAATTCGAAAAAACCCTGTTGCTCAAGAGACATGCAGACGAAAAGTCTGTGTTGAAAAATCTGTTGGTGCTGCTCGAACTGCCATCTAGGAAAAATGTGGTGACTTTTCTTCCGATTCATAACTTTGATCTTTTCAAGACCACTTCAATTAAGATTTCAATACTCACTAGAATTTGGGTCAAACTAAAACACTCTCCTTTAGGTTTCCATTGTTCCTGTAAAAAGAATTTCAAAAATAATAAAAAGAACACATATATGCTTGATAATTAAATCCATAGTGATTAATTTCTCCACCAGAAAAAGAGAGAGATTTGGAATTCGATCTTTTAATCATTCACAAGCAATACATTTACTAAAATATGTATACATATAATCTCACTCTCCCTCTCAAAATAGAAAATGACTATAATGATGAAACCCTTTTTCCTATATAGTCACTTCATTTATTATACAAGCAAATTCCAATATCTGAATCTAAAGTTGAACTCAAAAGTTGATTTAAATTGTCTCCTTCTTCTCTACCCCTTTGCAATATAATCAATCCCAAATCTGAATCATTATTAAGAGCTTCAAAGCTTGCAACAGCATCATCTTGGTATCTATCTCCGTGGCTCAGCTGAGAAGCAACAAACTTGTCAAGATCTCTCCAATCTGCAGTTATCTTTTTTGAATTGCATTCAACTCTAGCCTTTTCATCTTCTTCATTGATGTAATTTTCTGATACTATGGACACCAGACTTGGTTTTTTCATCATTGTCAACGACGGACTTTCTAGCTGTGGAAGTTGAACGAATTGATGATGATCAGCTGATGAATGTACAATATTTAAATTTTTTGCTTCTATTTCTTGCTTGCACATGAAATTCTGGGAATAGTTTGAGGGCTTCCTTGTCATATAATCAATAGAATCCACAACTGAGATTCCGCCACTTGGTTCTTCATAATAGTAGGTTGAGTCCCACCCTTCAATGCTCTTTGTTTGTCCTGTGATTCGCTTTTTAAAAGCTCGGCATACCACCCATCCTTCTTCCTGTAAGATCAAACAAACCTGTTCATCAAAGGCTAAACACTTGCATAATATTTTGCAAACAGAGAAACTGTTTTGATTTGAGCAACAATAATGATGATGAAGAATATGAAGTCAACAAAAACATAAGAATACAGATTTAATTAGTTTGACGATGTACATACCTCACATATTACATTATCAATATGTGAGCCACAATACATCATCAGATATGTGCTCCACTTTATATGAGCCACATATTACAACAAAAACTCATTACCTTATCTAAAAACTTAAGTACCAAATTTAAATTATGTCTGTAATGCAAAGAAAGTTATAGACAAACTAATGACACTACAAATTCGGAGTTCATTTTTTCACATATTTGTCTCTACAAGTTTTACTTTTTGTTGGTCTTTCTGTCTGGTAAAGAAAAGAGCAGTATGACACAAAAGCTTAGAGATGTTGGGGGGGGGGGGGGGCGGGGGGGGGGGGAGAGAGAGAGAGAGAGAGGTTGGATGGATTTTTTTGGGGATGGGGGCTTGTGCTGTAATTTTGATAATTTCGAGCCCTTGCTTGCAATTTAAGATTGGGGGTTAGGGTTACAAATTTAAAAATTTAATTTTTTTAAGTTTCAGTCCCTAAAGTTTGAAATCCATCCAAGTTGGACCTTTAAAGTTCTAGGTTTAATAATTCAGTTCCTAAAGTTTGAAAATTAATTAATTTGGGCCATTAAAGTTCTGAATTTTACAATTGAAGCCCTCAGTGTTTATAATTAATTTAAATTGGCCTCCAAAGTTCTAAATTTCAAAATTTTGACCCTTAAAGTTTTGAATTATTAACCCTAAAGTTTCAAATGGACAATCAAATTCAAATATTTTGGTAAATTGTTTATGATAAATTAAGATTGTTAGCATTTTAAATAAATTTATTGAAACAATATGTCACCAAAGTGACCTCCCTTGTGTAGATTGGTTTGTTTTGGATGTTTAGATGTTTGTGTTTGTGCTTGTTCATACGGGTATTAGCCGGCGCAAATGAAGGTTAATATTTGGTCGGATTACATACACTTGTGGAGGTGAATATATGACAATTATAAGGTTTCCATGTGAATAATCAATCAATACAAATATGAGTTTATTATTTGACAGGAGTTATTGTCAATGTTTAATCACTACACTAATAGTACCATTTGCAATTAATATTAGTGTCCAAAGACTTGATATTAATGTTGCACTAGGTATCTTGAGATGG